TCCTCCCCACCCCATCGCTCTCTCCGGACCTTCGCAGACTTGACCAACCGATCGAAGTCCATAGTACTCACAAAAAAAGAAAATGTGACTTGCATGTAATAGAAAAGACATTTCATAGTATGTCCCCATTTGCACCTTCAAGCTATCTACATTCCATTTGGGAATATCCTGTGGTTAAAGTTCTTGAGTATCACTACATTCTTGGTTGTATTTTCTTTTGGGCAATCACCTACTACTACTACTAATACAATTCTCCATAAACATTATGTTCCTGGTTTTTATCTAAATGAAGTTTGTTAGAGTTGAAGCCTTTGATGGTCATGTCATAGATTGTTCAAGACACTGCCACTCCATTGCAGTGCTCCATGGCTGCAACTCTATCTGAATTCAGTAGCAAAAATAAAAGAAATCATACTTAGATGAATGAGTACATGAACTTACCAGTTCAAAAATGATTTCAGAAGTTCATAATTATGAAAACAACATTCATATATACTCTCCTAACAGAAAAGAATAAAAAAAAAATTGAAGCAAATTCGATTAATTAACTAACAAAAAGTTGAAGAAGCACCTCTCCCCTCCCCCCTCTCTCTCTCTCTCCTTATTAGCTTTTAAGTTTCTCTAATAAAGTCCATTGTTACTCCTTTTAATAGTTTAGGAGTGGAAATGGAAAAACCCACTATACAACACAAACGGGGATGGAAACCATCGTAATAGCCTTAAGAACGTGTTAGATGGTGTACACGAATGGTGAACAAGACCCTAATAGCATGTCATGACAAAGCTAGGGGTACAACAGTTCAAAAGGTGGGACAATGACGTGGAGATAGTAACTAACAGTCTCATAAGACATATGTCAGGAAAACGGGGATTCCTAAGTGATGAGGGCAGATTTGGCCCTCCACTAACATCATGACACATGGCATCTCAGAACAGCTAGATGGCATCTCGACACCACTTAGGCAATGACTTGCCTTAGCCAAAATGGTGGAGTCCCAGCTGGCGACCTACCTCCGCCGACCAAGCGACCTACCTCCGCAGACCAAGCAACCTACCTCCACCGACGTGATGACCTACCTCTTCCAACCTGGCGACCTGCCTCCGTTGACCAAACGACCTACCTCCGCTGACCTGACGATCTCATCCACAAATCAAGCACTCCGACAAGGCGGCTAGTAGCACCTCGCCCAGGGATGACCAGTGGTATTTCGTTAGTACAGGTCGAAGTGACCTCAACGTGAGGAGCGTCCTCCCTCGAGGGTTTGCCGACCTGATTGAGGTTTAGGTGGCAACCTACGAGACGTGCTTGTCGACCAATTCTACATACATCCCGTTAACTAGGCATCCGAGCCACCTTCTAGTTAGGACCCGTTCAGTTAGGCATTTGAGCTACCTTCCAACTAGGAACTGTTCAGCTAGGCATCCGAGCCACCTTCTAGCTACGAATTGTCTAGCATGGCATCCAAGTCACCTACTAGTTGGGAGCTGCCAAAACACCCATCATCAGTGAAGGGAAGAGAGATCCATCGTATGGACGCCCAAATCTTGCGGAATAAAGGGGCGAATTTCAAAAATTTTTCTCTCCCTTTCAACTGGGAATCGCATTCCCTATTTAGAAAATCATATTTTCAAGGATCAATCTTGAACCATAAACTGAACCGGATCTAAACCAAAAGGAGTAGGAGAGGATTATACCTGATACGGAGAAATAATATCTACCAACGGAGGTGTTCACGCCCAAGGAAGGATCCAAAGACTGCTCCCACTGAAAATGGCGCAGTGTAGGATGGAGCAAAATCAGCAGTGTTCTTCTCCATGAACTCTGTCCTTCGCAAGAAACAGCAGGATGGCATGTGAGCACAACTTCCTATCAATTCTTTCTCAAAGAACTGATGTCAAGATTGAATCTTGACTTCTCCCACAACAGGAGATCGAACTGGATGTCTGGCGGCTGCAGGAAGGAGGCGACAAGAAAGATCTTTGCAGGGATTGCATAAATCTTTCTTCTGTAATTTCAGCACTGAAAAGGATCTGATTATCTGATTATTCTAAAAGTTGCCGCCCCCTCCTTCTCTTCTAAA